TTGCTAAACAGGAACAATTTTTTTGGGGTATCTTTATTGGAAAGAGACTGACACAGCGTAAAAATCTAAAGCAGGTTACTAGAAAAGGATGTACATATTAAATTCCATCAGGCATTGATCTGTGAGAGATTTACTAAGAAGAAAAAAAATCACATTCGTTACTGTGAGAATACAGGTCTTAAAGCTCAGCACAAACAAATGCAAAGGCATCCAGTTCAGAAACATACAGAATGAACTTTTTATCATATATGAATATATGAAATATGTCTTAATTTTGAAAACAAAAGAATTAACTTCCACAGTTATGCATGTCATGATGAAGAGGAAAAGGATTATTTGTATCTTTCACATTCAGTTGCCTGATGAACTCACCCAGGTGTGAGATGAATACTTTTTTACTTCAATGAGTTGTTTTCAAGGGGCCAGAACCAGTCTAAATACCAATGATTACGTTCTTATTAGTTAAATGTTTTGTACAAGCAATTAGTTACTGATGAATACTACATTAAAGGCCTCCTTTCACTAGTCTAAATTTCATTTAGACGATATTCATAGAAGTTTCATACTTACAAGGCAAAAATATCACTTTGAACGTTAGTTTTAAGTATCTGAAATGAAAAATAAAAACTGAATATTCTAGTTCCATACTTTTACATTACTAAAAAAATAAGAAAAAGCAACAGGTGTGCAGCCCCCTTGTTAGCCTTATTTACCAATAATACCCTACTGTGGATCCAGTAGATCAATGCAGATATCCGTACAAAACCTTTCTAAACCTTCCTTCTTGGTATTACAGATTAATGGTCCTGCAGTTCTAGTTGGAACTGAAATCCCATTGACTTTATGTGGAAGGGGATCCAATATGTGGTAGTACTGAAGGGTAACAATATGAGAATTTCAAAGGAGGTCCAAAGACTGATAAAAAACTCCAAATGGGTAAAGAAAATGATGTTTAACAAGCATTTAACTATCGTTTTCAGATAGTTAATATGTAATTAAACAACTGAGAGTATACTGTGCTGTTTATTTATATTCTCTGCTTAATAGTGGCTTTGAACTACCCTTTTCCCCAGTGAAGCAACAGAAACAATATAACTTGGATTTCTCTATACGAAACAGAGATGGATCACACCAGACCAGTGCATCACAATGACTCTTCATCCTTCCTACTTTGTTTTTTGCTTTAAGCGAGTTTTCTGGAGACTTATTATATATTTATACTTCTTGCATGGGAAGAGTTAGACATCCCAGGAATGCCAGAAAGATGCAGAGAACTTCCCACAGGGAAGTCTACTTCCTTTCATCCCGTTTAGGTATTACTTGGAGAGAACACTATTTTTACTAGAGGTAGAAAGAAAAGACAAATGAAACCAGAGAGAAAGGAGTTAGAACTTCAAACCAGCATAATTTATGTACAAACCAACTGCAATTCTTCTCCATGAAAATAACAGAATATAGAGGCCAAATAGCTTTAGGAAGTTTCTCTTTGGAAATAATCCAGGGATTCTAACTGGAATAAACTGATCAAATGTTGAGGTTTTAAAAGCTAGTACAGGAAATACAACTTTCAGTTAGATGCTCTCAACTTCTATTCCTGATAAACCTACTGAAGGTAAGTAAAACTAGAGCTTTAAACTCTCTCCTGTATATGACTCTCAAAGCTCTGCATTTTTACCTTTGTGAAAAGTCTTTTTGCTACAGAAAAAAAATAAATCTCTAAAATCAAGATTTTTATAGATTTATGTTACTGAGACTGTGTACAAATCACATTTTGTTTTGTTTTTCTGCTGAGCAATGAGGATATCAGACAAGTGGGTAAAGTGTGATACAGCAATGCTTTCCTTTGGGGAAAGAAAACAACAGAAATTGCATGCCTGAGTTTTTCCTCTGGTGGTTCAAAATTAAATTATGCAGGCTGTAGGGATTATCTGCAGTTTGTGAGACACATAGAAAACAGTCTCCACAGTCTTATTCTTTCACACTTGACCATTAAACAATTTCCCACCCTCTGTGCACCCACATTTGGGTATTCTACTCTATGGCTTAAGAACACTGAATGAGATTAGCAGAGCCACAAGACATACACATACTATTCACTCGGTAATAGTGATGCTTCTCTAGCTCTGAATGGAGTAAAGTGCAAATGCACAAAGCCTGACCATTCTGGTTCCAGCCAACTGTTGCTGTTAGAGTCGTTTTTCAGTGAGACCTAGGAGCCCATCTCATTGTCCCATCTATTATTTTTTCAATTCTGTGCTCAGTTACCTTTTTTCATATTACAATTAGTCTTAGGCTCTGACTGGGACTGGCAGCACTCAGCTTTGGAGGTTTGTTTCTGCTTGCTGGCCATCCCCCCACTGCAGCATGGACAGCTCAGTTCCTTGTAAAGCTAGTCCTGGATATCTGAAGTTTATAATGTCATGTTTTAACAAAAGCTCCTCAGGCTTCTTCTGAAGCACTAGAATGGTAAATAGGAAATCTACTTTTCAAAAGGGTGATCTGGTGTAACTGAAACACACACCCTCAGTTCTCATACCACACTTAGGACAGAAATAAATGGCAAGCCTAGGACAGTCACTGACTGTGCAATCAAGCTATGAAGTCATCTACCTGATGTCACATCTCTCCATAGAGAGGTTTGGTGGATGAGAGAAGAAAAAGCCAGGTATACACACCAAATATGAACACAAACCACCCAAGTTCTTTTCCTATGGATTGCAGAAGACATATACCATACTTACTAGTCTATGACAGCTGTGCAGACTTCTCCAAAAATGGGTTAACTTTGCAAAGATCAGCATTAACTCCCACACACATTTCTGCTGGAAATCTATCAGGTTGCTAGGGTAGCATGCTGTGCATAAAGGCTGCTCCCTGGCTGCATACCCTTCCCGCAGGCACACGAATCCCTAATTATGAGGTACATATACAGAAGAGTTTCTGTGGGCTAAGGACAAGCATCAACAAATACACTACTTCCTTTGGTACATGACTTACAGACCCTTTGAACCATTTTTTGGCTCCTTTTCTGGTGCCTGTCTCACAGCAGGGGAGGCCGTTTCAAACTTCAGTTATCATTCTGACCACAAATAACACCTAATTTCTTTCTCTTACTCTTTAATTTTATTTCAAAACCCAAAGTAAATGCATCCTGAATAGCAAATAAACAGAAACCTGAAAGAGGAAGATACTGTGACATGACAGTGGGATTGCACTCACCCAGTTTCATTGCCTATTTAAATGTTAATGGCACTTTCAATAAGCAAATTTATTTGTATAAAGAATTAGAAAACACCTTCACATTTAGTTTCATGCTTGCCTTATAAAACTTTACTTATTTATTTCCTAGTGCATTTATTTATGTATTTGTCTCCTGATGAGGACTGGAGAAGTCCTTTCTTTCTTCATGTTTCACTTTATTCATGCTGTACGTATTCTAAGATTTCTTTGCCTCCTACCTCTCCAAAACCTCCAATTCCATAATGCCCTGCAATAAGCGTGAGCATAGGGGCAACTGAAGTGTCCTTTCAGGCTAACCAGCACCTCTGCTGTTAAATGAGAACTTCCTATTCCTGACTGCCAAGGGTTTACATGCTATTTCCATAACTGTGCTCTAGATGAAGATAGATGAGGCTGAGATTCTTCTGTAACACTACGCCAAAGCAAAAACCTAATTAACACTTTGGGACTCTATATGTGCCAACATGGAAAATATTCTACATTTCATGCAGCTTTCTAGAATGTAGGAGTCATGAAGCAATACAATACAGCTTGTACTGTAGCAAGTCATAGGTACATTACTTAGTGCATTTGGTGTTCAAGAAATAACTGATATAAAGCACAAATCCTTCCCCAATTCACACAGGTTAAAAATGCTAGTTGTTGTATTTGTTTTATAGCCTAGCATCTCTGTTATCCTCATGCTTAAAATGCCCTAAACAAATATCCTCGCAACTACTGCCAAAGGGGGATATGAAGGTTAGAAAGATTTATAATGTTGCCAGAGCTGTCATGTAGGCTATGAGCAGGGAATGTCTCATTGTAAAAAATAAGAACATATCCTACTTATCATTTCAATTAAAATATTTTTTTCTTTTTTTAAGCTAAACTACAAATATCAATGCTTTTGAAACTGAGAAGGTAAATGATTCATAACGATTGTAACAACTGCTATGTCGCTGTCTTGTAGGTGGAAACCACAGACAAATATGACAAACATTGACAGAGTTAAGTTTCAAACATTCGCAAATTTGTATCCATGAGTTTTCCTTTTCTTACACTCCTTAGCTCCTTTCTGCTGTTTTCCTCTAAGCATCCCTAGGTTCATGCTGAAAAAGCTTCATCTCTTCATGCTTTATACATCACATTGTATATTATTTCTAATAACATACTTTTTTCTCCCTAAGCATCTCCCCCAAACAATTAATTTGCTTAAAATGTCTGTTTCTTTGTCAGAATAAATGCATTATATCAAACCATAACAATCTCCTAGCCATTCTACTCAAGGATTGTTACCTTACCAGCACATTAAGAGTACAATCAAACTGCTCTCCTGCAATGTACAGCATCAACAGCAGTCAAGTGAATTGTATTTTTGTGCTTACTTCAAGGCACCTATTACCTTATATTTTTAATTTAACACATTAAAATGATGCTATGTAAAAATGAAACAGTACCAAGTTTCTAGGGTGAAATGTAAAACTCACTTTCTAAACTTTAAGTAAGCACAAGAAATCTTTTCAAGTCTTCATTTCATTGTGAGTGTTTTTTGCCAGAGGATAGAGTCTTTCCAAATTCCTTTCTTCAGCATGAACATACACAGAATATGTGAAGGATGTCATTTTTTTATTTTGAAGCAGCTAATTTCCTTCAACACTTTTTGAGAAGTTTTATTTTGTTTTGGATTCATGTCTGAGTATTAGAATCTATTTACATAGATACCAAAGTGTTCCTTTTAGATAACCACACACTGGATTTTGTTCATTATTTGTAGTTTCTCCTTTTTTTTTTTTTTTTAATTAAAGTAAGCAGCCCTGTTTCAAGGTATCAGCTGTCTCACCCACTTTCTTTGTATTACTCCCTTGGAGCATTTTCTACACACACAAAAAGAAAAATCTGAAACAGGAAAATCCAAAACTGTCTCCAATAAGGGCGCCCAGTGAATGAAAAAGAAACTTGGGGATGGGGAGAGTGAACGTATCTTTGGGAGAAACTATTGCTTTTGACAATTTTACATAAAACCAAGTGGGAGATAGTTTGCCCAGAGCACTTTTTAATGCATTGTGTAGAATTACATTCTTTTGATTTATATTCATCAGACCTAAATCTGGAACCTGCTATCATGCTGGCAATGAACCTGTGACACAATCTAACTTTTGTTTAGCTCCTGTGTATGTTAATGTGATCTCCGTGACTAAGTTTTCTTGATGTCCTTGTATGGGGTGAAATGAAGATGTTATCGTTCTTACTGAGTGAGATTTAACAACATTCATTTAGTTTCCCACCCAGATATGAAAAAGAATTCTCTGGAAAGTATCATCATCCTCAGAAAACAGATAATTCCTTTAATATAAATCCTGGTTATTTTCTATCACTCTTCAAATTTAGGTGTAAAATTGTTATAAACATTTATCCATTACTCATCATGGAAAACAATATGATACATTCTGCAAGTTAATCGCCGTCTCTTTTAGGTACATTTATTAAGAACTGTTATTATTGAATCAAAACCTAATCAAAAGAACAAAACCCCTGGACCATGGCCTCTAGTGCTTACCAATGAAATAAATGATCTCACAAGTGCCCCACCTGTACGTCCCTATTAAATTTGAATAAAAGAGGTGTTTCTGTGTGTACCACTACGTGTGCACACAGAAAGCTTCTTTTGAAGAGTTAACACGTAATACTGATGTAAAACTAAGTAATCTACTACTACCTGAAATATGTCCTGAATTTAATACAAAGCCATCAGCTTGACATACATAGTCAGAAGACTTCAAGTTTTACTTGTTCTTAACATGTTATAATTTATTATTTTTAAAAAGATTGTGTAGCAAGTGTTCATATTGGAAGTTCACTTGCATATACATAACTCCGCAGAAGGACCATGCTCCTTTAAACAATATTTCTTCTCCAGCATTACACGTTTTGTGCTGTTTTGTGACTTCAGTAACAAACTCAGCCACTGCTCACAGATGCTCTGCTCACATGTGGAACCATGCACTCACATCTCATCTCATGGATTACCCTATAAAGTTTAGGATGTAGTTCAAACCTTAACTTTCTTTGTTAAACTTCAATATGATAAAATGCAACTTCACTATGATTAAAAAGCAACTGATCTCAAAGCTACTGAGCTGTTCTGAGCATCATAAAAGAGTACATGAACAGGAGATGGGGTCAAATCTTTAATCTCCAGTTTACTAAGCAATGAGAAGGGATATACCAATCATCTCTTCAGATTAATGCGTAGCATAAATATTAATTAATCAATGTAGAAAACTTGAGACACACTACAGGAAACTGAGTTGATCATAAGTTATTGCAATAAAGATTTAATAATCTAATTTAACAATCTATTTAAATAAATAAAAGTCTGATTTGCAGTTCCCTTAGTGTTTGGGGAGGGAAGGAGCAACCTTATTAAAGCCCCTTCTGGTGCACGCCCTTCCATAAACTCGTTGTACACGAGGTAACACCCAGTGGGCTGCCAGGGAGGCGAGCCTTCACAACCGCCCTACAAAAGGGCTATCCATGTGATTCCTGGACACTCTCAACAATTTATCGGGTCCTAATACCACCAGACCTGCGGATGGAAGTGTTAGGCACTGGGCCTTCACTCCTCACCGGCTGCTTTACGGCAGAACTGGGCGGCGCCTAACGACTATCAATAGCTGGCGCAGATAATGGGTAATGGCGTTTTAACGCAGGCATTAAAATCCCAGGAAAGGATTAAAAGGAGAGAAAAAAAAAAAAAAGGGAAGACCTGGGTGAGAAATTATCACCGCCCTCGGATCCAGCGCTGCTGTCTCGACCCAGAGCCTCAGTCCGCATGGGGAAGGTCGACCCCAGCGACCATCCGAGCCCACCTTTATGCAGTGTGCTCGGTCTGGGACCACCTCCAGGGCGGTAACTGTGTGCTTTGTTGTTCTGGAAGCCTCGGGAAGGTTCACTGTGGTCCCCCACGCCCCTTCCCCCTGCAAATTGCTCCAGCTGATGTTCCCAAGCCGAAAGGAGGAGCCGAGAAAGGCGGCCCGCCGGCCCGGTTCCGCAGGGCAGTGTGCAACGTGCTCCTGCCCGAGTTTGGGACAAAAACAGGTAAAGTTCATTGCCGGTCTTAGACACATTCTTATCCATGTGATATGTTCGCATACACAAACTCACATATATGCAGGGCACAACATTAGAATGAGGTTCGTTGGCTGCATGCAGCAGGAGTTCTGCTCGGACAAATAGATACTCACCAGGGCTCCAGAAGAGGCCCTTTTCATAATCTGGGGGGCTTTATGTAAACTATATTGCAAGGTACTGCTGGCTTGCAGTTCTATTAAATTTTTCAAGTTGCAGCAAAACAAACTCTGTTTTGTTATGTAGTCTGCCTTTATGCTTACTGAGTGATCAGGAACTCCTTAAAATTTTGACCACAGATCACTATGAGACTTCAAAGTGGTTTTTGGACCACCCAATGTTCACATTATCAGTCTTAACTGAAAACATCCCAAATATAGCACAGCTCTGAAAAGCAATTTGGAATATTGTATCCTCATCAAGTGTGAAAACTACAGCTTGTCAACCGCTGATACAGCCCCAGGAAGACAGAATGGCAGCACAGAAGGAAGGATGTTTTCAAGAGCAAATCTCACATTAATGAAGTTCAGTGGATGTGGGAGATTAAAAAATCATTTTTCCACCAGATTCTTTCACTGACTCCTCTTAAATGTGGCAGAAATCTCAACTTTTCCATACGTATCAGATTTTACATTACTATCTGTGTTTCTTGGGCTTGTCATCATTCTCCTATGGGCATTTTCACTGAAGTTTATGAAGCTCCAAGGGGCTTTATATGTTTACTTACTGAAGCGGTATAGAGAACATCAAAGTGAATGATTGAATATTAAATAAATCAGAAGCACAGTTTCACAAACACTTGAAGTGGAAAAGTATCGCATTTAGGAAACTGTCAAATTCATTATTCAATGTATTTACTTTTCTAATACTGATCCCAGACTCTGCAAAGGCAAGAATATCACTAGCACAATACAGAAAGCAAACTGCTTTCTTTTTCCTGCGAGACATTGCAGTCAAGGATAGAGCAGCACACGGGACTGTTCCTTTCTTTTCCACAAAGGCAGGTGGTCTCAGATGACAAGCCTGTACAAACCTTCAGCTAGCACATTTCAGGAAAATGGAGGGAGATGAAATTTACACCACAAACATTCCCAGGGAAGAATACTTACCCATGCAGAAACAGCAAAACAAAAACCTGTTACGTGTATATATATATATATATAAATCCACAAGCTAAACCTATGCACTGAATGTTCCAGTGTGAATCAGCTATTTACCAAGCAAATTACTATATTTCACGGCAATAACTAAGATGATAACATGCAAGAAATTAATGATAAATATGGTGATAGAAGTAAAACAGACATCAGAAAGTTTATAGCTCCCCAGTCCAAAAAGTTCAGCCAAGCTTGAATGGAGATAAGAAACTGGATGAGAAATGTGGGATGAAGAATGCAATAGTCACAGAGAAAAGGAATGATTAAGAAGAAAACAAAAAAGAACAGAGGTTTTAATCAGGAAAAATTGGTAATAAAATTCTGAATTAAAATTCTGATTCCAGTGAGGATTTTCAGACATCATTTAATTCCCATGATTTACAATTTCCTCAGTAGAACTACAGCACTAAGAGATCGTGTCTTTTATATTAATAGAAAATGATGAATGCCACTGTAATCAGTAACACTGACTTTCATCAGCTAGTGGTCTGGTGCTGATCAGATGATGAAATCAAGGAGAGTGAATTGGTAAACCAGCTGGAGAAAGCATTTCTAATATGATTTAAAACAACAACAACAGCAACAGAGGAGCTTTCTCATTTTGTTTTGCTGCACTTCTGTTTATAAGAGCGGGATTTCATTTAAGCCTGGGAAGAGTGTGCATAAAATCCTTATCTAATACTTCTACTAACCATGATTTATCCCCACAGCGCAATTCAAATACAGTGAAGAGATAACATCTTTTTTTTTATGTCTTCCCTTGTATTTCTAAAGCAGGAAATATACATACACAAATCAAGAGAAATCAATATTTTTACTCCTTTCCACTCCATCAGTCATATAACAAAATAATCAGAAAAGGGCACCATAACCCCCTGTTTGTCATTTGAATTGACTGAATGAGAGTTTGACAAGTCTAAAAGGCCAGCAAAAGACACACAGAATTCCCTCATTAGATTTTGCACAACAGTGACTACAGAGGGCTATGAATGCACAGTACTATGAATAATAAAACATCTGTGAATTACATAATGTCACTAAGTACATTCCAAATGGTATGCATATATTAACCCACAAATACAGGCTGGTACTTATTTAATACAAAATCAGCAAAAAAAATGGTGTTTTTGAAAGGCCTTGGAAGTCCATTATGCTACCCAAGTCTCTCATATTACTCTAAGGAAAGTGATGTTACTGTTATACCATAATAGAAATGTTACTGTTATACCATAATAGAAAATAGCCACATCAACAGCTCTTAGTGACAGGTAGAGATATCTTTGGGAAATCCACCAACTTTAATGAAACAGCTTAAGTAAATATAATCTCTTCTTGTACGTTCAACTGCCTGTAGTCTACAAAGAACAAAATAAATGTCTAAGTTTTATATATACTGAGAATCAATGTTTTCACACCACTTTATATCACCATTGAAATGTGCAGTCAACCTAATAACACACAGCACCTTCTGACAATCAAAGAAGTCCTCTATATCACTGCAGACTACACATAGCTTGATTGGAACGCCCTGTTTTATAAGTCCCCCACTCCACCCCTCACAACCCTGGTGATAAAGTATTTTCAGATTTGAATGCTTGCTGTTAGCTTTAATGAAGGCTTTTTCATTGCTGAAGCCAGGTTTATTTTTAAGCAGTCACAGTAGTCTCTTGACAGTGTAATACAGAACTGGATCAGTAATTACAAAGGGGAATCAAAATTATGGTCACTCTAATGTGCATTCTTCTAAATGACTAGTTCAGAAGCAGGAACATGAAACTATTGTTTCAAACACCAGTCTGAGACCCCTAGAGATTTAAATGAGTAGTCTGCAAAAAAAATAAGATCATTTTTTATTTTTTTCTCTCTGTGAAGTTATCTACTCTCTTAATTAGTAGCAGCATATCAATTAATAAAAATATAGAATGCGGGCTATTATCCTATTACACATTAATACTATTATGTAAAAAAAAATAATAAGGAATTGTACTGTTTATCCACATCTAGTCATGCTTGGTATCTGACAATTTGTCAGTTTACCACACTGAAAGCTGATCCAAAATCCCTTAAATCACTGTTTTCTTTTACTCTCTACACTGTTTTCTTTTACTCTCAAGTCCAAAGTGGGTCTGACTCAAACCCTGAAATAAAGCCCTCCAAGCCCAACTTGTGATTGCCACTTCTGATGTTTTAACCTCCATGGTAGGCTAGTGTAGAAGCAATTTATCTAGCACATGAACTGATGCTATCTATAGGATTTATGAAATCAACAGATGGCCTTAGACAAAGAGTATTTAAAGGAGATTTTATTTTTTAATAAATTAATTTGAGATTGGATATGTAACCAAAATTCTGGTATGTACTTGACTTTATCCCAGAAATAATTCAAGACAGATCATCCAGGTTACCATATGGACTATATTTCACTCCTCCTATTAAAAGTAGATTACAGAGAGGCTAAAGCTACTTATGATATTTCAAGCTTACCAGCATTAATTTGAATAAGAAAATAGATGAGGGAAGCATGATTGGCAGCCATCCCAGCTATACAAATTACAAATCTCTTCAACAGAATTTCAATGGATTTTAAAATTGAGTAGTAAAAGATCTAGTGATAAATTGATCTTTTTTTTTCATATAGCAATATTTTTATTTTTTTTCGGTATCAATAGTTTCGGTATCAATAGTTTCCTGTAGGAACAAATAAAAATAAAAATGTAGTACTTGTATTTTATCCTAAAATAAAATGTAGTATTGTGAAGAGTTATAATGAAAATTTGGAAGTATACACTGTGTTTGATATGGGTACAATGAAAAGGTCTGTTAATGTGTGGAAAACGTGCAATACATGTATACACAGTGAGTTAGGAATTCAGTATCAGGTGCTAGCCACTGATATCCATCCCTGGGGACTCGCATTCCAATTGCCTTTTCTTTCCTGGTTATGGCATGTAGGGAAGCAGCCACTGCAGCTGTACAAGCCCTGAGAGACAGATGCACAAGCTAGAGAGATGACACAGATGTCCAGAACCTTCCCACCTGCCACCTGGCTGAATTCACACTGGTTATTGCAAGATGTGGATAACCATCTGTACATCTGTCTAGTACTGACACTTAAGGGTCATAATTTAGAAAGAGTTAATCACTGGAGTAAGTTATAGCAAGTATTTCTGAAGATTCAACCCTATTCCTACATGCACTATAATGGCTGTTTGTAATTGTCTCTTGGTACACTTCAGCATGGCCAGAATATCAGAGACTCAGCAGAGTTTACCAAGAGCATTGTAAGAGGAAGGTTTTACTACATTTCTAATGCCTTAGACAAAAATTAAATGGTTACAATTTTAGGACAATTCTCTGCCCTTTTTTAATGATAGCAATGGAAAAAAAAACAGTATTCTGAAAGTGGCAAAACTGAAATCATTATACCAGTTTAAGATTATTTTTTGTTTGTTTGTTTGTTAATTCTAATGTATAAAGACACTGCACACGTGTAGATGGAAACTTCCCAGAACTTTTTAATATCAGTCACCAATCAGCAAATTCCCATTGTAAGTCACAAATGATGATTAGTACTCATTTAAGCAATCCTCACCATACCCTGTGATGAAAGATGTTGTATATCCATTT